CTCCTGTTTACTACTGCCCTCGTTCTTCCTACTACCGCCTGTTCTGTTGCCTTTTTTACTTTCTCTCTTTCACCTATTGGCACCGCATCTTCATATTTTTTCTTGCTTTGTCAAAGGCTTTCACTCCCTTCTTTAGGTTCTTGTCATTGGTTGCAGTGACACCTTTTATTAATTTTTCAGCAGCGCCATGTTGGACAATCTTCCTGTCCTCATAAAGGTCAATAACAGTATTGATTTTTGGAAGTGTAGCAGTGTCAACCCTGCCTCTTTTCCTGTCTCTTATGTTCCTTAAACTGGTAATATGTTTTTTCTATAGATATTTGTTGTCATATAATACTTTATCTTGATATATAATAAGCTTAAAGCTTTAAAACAAAAACCATTTAATGTTATAAACTATTTATTATTTAGTATCGTTAACATGGAATATATATAAAGACATATTAACTATATACATTAAGATATAATGACTACTCAATTAAACATTGAAGACCGGACCTAACACTGGATGAAATTAAAGTGCAGATGTCTTAAAGGAGAAGAGAAGACCCTGAATATGCACAAAAGTTGAGGGACAGAGACCGCCTCAGACAACAAAAGAAGAGAGAAGAACGGGGTGTTCCAAAAAGGATACCTGTCACCAACAGTGAAACGAGGCAAATACTGATGGTGGTTCCAAAATGATTTTACTATTAAAAAATATTAACTTATTTGTTATTTTTATTTGTTGGATATGCTGAACCAGAAGCAGAAGCGCTACTACTTCTTCTACTTGATGAGCTTGATGATGTAGGTATTGGTAAATCTGTTAGATGTGCTACCATGGGTGGATTGTGTGATGAACTGCTTGATGAAACATTTACTACTGAATGTGGTGGAGAACTATGGACACTCACTGCAGGTGAAGAATGCACGCTTATAACTTCCTCTTCATTATCATTGTAATTTTCCCCTGCTTGTGTCAAATAATCAATCGCTGACAATAAAGCACTGCCACCCATCATAGCTGTATTTCCTGCTACTTCTGCCAATCTAAAACCTATCTTTAATTTCCCTCTATGTCTTTTGAAACATCACCTATTGCCTTCACTGTCACTGCTACTACTGCTAGGGTTTTCAATCATGTTTGTAAAAGCTTCTACCATCTTATCACTTCTTGATGGCTCAAAATCACTACTTGATGGCTCTAAACTTTTGAAGTTCTTTGAACTCATCTTCACAATATAGCTTCCTATTATCCGGTTTACTTTATCTACTGTTTCAGTCTCTTTGTCAAACGTAATTTTCTTATCGGTTTGCGTTTGTTTGTTCTCTATCTCTGGGAATTGTGTTGCCTCATCTTCAGATTCTATCTCATTACTTCGTTCTCTTCTTTCTGTTGGCTTATTTAAAAATAATGTAAGTATTCATCATCATCTATTATATGTGTTTCTTCAGTCTATTGTGTACTAAAATCATGATTAAAATAATTAGATTCTATTCTTAATTATGCCATTTCACTTCCCCTTGCGCTGTGTCTGTTTCTGTATTCTTTAATTTTGCTTTTCAATAGTTCTGATTCAATTCTTCTTTGCCATACACCGGTTTGCATCATATCAACATCTACATAATATTGCTTTGTTGTTTTGCCTCCTCCTTTGCCTTTTGCTCTTGTTGGTAGTTCATTCTCTGGGTCATCTACATCAAAGCCTCTCAAAAACAATTGAAATTTCAATGCTTCTGCGCTCATAGTTCCTACATTTAATCTATAGCTAATGGTTCTTAATACTGCTTGTTTGGGTTCAGGGGCTTCGCGTTCTTCTCTTGCTGTCATCATTTCTACTTCATCTTCTGCTTGTTGGTTGTCTTGTGTTAAATCAATTGCTAATTGTGGCACCGGTTGAGCCATTGGCGTTCCTACTCTGCTACTTGTTCTACTCAATCCACCAAATATCATATCAATAACAGGTGTGGCGCTCCTACTTAATAAACTTTGGTGTGCTTGTCCTTGTTGTTTTCTCTCCTGTGCCATTCTGGCTCTTTCTTGTAGTTGTGCTTGAATGGATGCATTATTAACGTTGTCATCTCTTGGCGTCTCTGCTTCTATTGGGGTTGTGTCTCTACTCTGTTGCCTCATCCTTTCAACATGAACTGTTCCACCTCCTAAATTGTGTCTCAATAATAGTTCTCTCATCTGTCTCTCTTGTATTCTGTTTTTTTGTTCCTTCAATACTTCAAATGCCATCAAAGAAGCTACCTTCAGGACTTGCTTTAAAAAATGTAGCCCTTCTGTCTGGAAGGCTTCCAGTTAATGTTTCATTTTCTCCTATCAACCCTGCTATTTCGTCATATGTTGGTCGCCTCTTCAATTCATATTTTGAATAAGGATTTATCATTTCCAATGCCATAGTTGCCATATATTAATATGTTAGGTAAACATGTTAATATATTTATGCAAAAAAATAGGCCTTTAGGTTGCTTAATGCTGTGTTCTTTTGTGTTGTGCGGTAGGTTGTCTCTTTGGACTTCACCTCTCAACCTGTCCAGTTCATTTTGATACTTTGACCTAGCATTTGCTTGTATCATGTCCTTTCTTAATGCTACCATGCCCTCTCTTGCATTTCTTAAGTTAAGTTCCTTGTGTAAATGCTCCAGATAACTTGTATCTCTCATATCAAATGGACTAAAAATTAATAACAATTTGTGAAGATGTGCTTTAGTGCCTGTTTTGTTGTTGTATTTATGATACTTAAACATTATTAATATATTTTGTTTTAGACAAATATATTAATAATGTAGACTTATTATTTTAATCGTATACCACAGACCCGCGTTCGCAAATTTCTAACACGCTTGCACTAATAAGGTGGGTAAAAACCTCTTGAATGTCTTCAGCATAAATTGCGTTAGTCCTATCACCGGGTGTAGTGTTTAGAGTTCCTTCAGTAGGGCGGATTTTCATAGTCATTAAACTACCCATTTTTGTGTTAACTCCAGTAAAGTTGACGTCAGCCATCTTTTCAAATGGCATACCAATAATAAATGTGTTTTCTCTGTATTGCCTGTAACTGAAAATCAATGCATCTTGGTCCGGGTTCATGTAATGTATGGCTCCTCGCAAATAGTAGAAGGTTTCTGCATGATAATGATTGTGCCTCAAACTCTGGATACTTTTTGTTGCCTAACTGGATTTGCCATTATAAGTTTCTACCATAGTCTTGGAAACCTTTGCCTTGGTCTTGAGGATTTGCTACTGCTCCAGTGTCCCAGATGAATGAGTTAATTTGAGAATTGTAAAAGTAGTTCCATCGCTTATGAACATAGTTGTCTGGCAAATAGTTAGCATTGATAGTTGCATTTCCTGGTGTTCTGTATAAAGTACTGAATGCTCCTGATGACTTAACAATGTTCATATCCAATTCACCGCCTCCTGTGTTGAAGGTTTGTGTCAGTGTGTGATACATAGGAAAGACCAGTTTTAGTGACTCACCGTCCAACAAATGTTTTACTATGTTGTTATTAACAGTGTTGTCTAAAGTCATTACTTCAGCTCTGATAATAACATTGTTTAATTCCCACTGTGTAGAAGTGTTAGCTGCTTGAAAGTAATACCCCTGTTTGTCAGTTTGAGTGTTCGGGTTTCCTACTGCGCCTCCTTGTGGTTCTACAATAGGTGCCAATTCATCATTAACAATTGTGAATTCTAACTCCAAAGGCGCATACCTCAAAGGTAAATATATAATAATTTGATTGCATCAACCCACAAACAGGCTTATGGCTGAATCGGGCTTTACCATTAGCGCCGGAAATTCTTGTCAATGAGTGTCTTGTATACTGTATCTTTTATCTATTCTACCCCATTCATTTTTATCACCGTCAGGGGATACAGTTACTACACCGGGGGTTGGAGTAACACCAGCAGTAGTAGCCTGCAATAATACATCCAAACCATTACTGTAGCATAGTCATGAAAGTCAGCGTCCCATCTTGGGTTAGCTGACATCTCTATGTCATCCATGTCTCTAACATACAACTCACAGTGTCTATTGTATTCCACAATATTTCGATCCATTTGACCTCCTACTATTGCTCTGTATCGTTGAAGAAAGGCATGTAAGCCTCCTAATGGACGTAAGAAATGGTGTCTTGTTCGATCGTTATTTTGCAAAGTTGCAAACAACCTTACTGAACTCAAATCCAAATAGGTATTATCCTCTCCTGAAATGTAAAACCTAATGTTTTTCGCCCCCCGCATTCGCATTAAATACGTTTGTGGTGCTACTAAAATAGTTTACAAATCGCCTGTTTGTAACATATTGTGAAGTTTCAGGTAATCCAAAGTTCAGGTAATCCAGGTCACCAGCTTAAAAACAGACATCAAACGAAGCGGTATCCATTTAGCAGAAAGGATTTCTATGTTCTTTTCCTTCAGGGAGAGCTCTGGTAAGGATGAGTCTGGTTCTATGTTGTCCTTTTTATCCAGGTTCTTTTACAAAACGTGTGGTTTTTTACTTTAACATTTCAAGGTAAAAAATCACAAGTTTGCGTCTGTATGTACTTTTTGATGATGCATGGTTTAAAAAAAATATGAAGCATTGTGTTGCTTTGTGTGTGTCATGGTTTCGTGCAAATTACTTTTTTTGTTAGGTCGATTTGCTTTGCTGGTCGTTTGTGGGAGTCTTATGGTTTTGCATGAAAAGTATGCTAAGGAGCCCTGGCGGCACATTGGTCTAAAAGTTCCCCACCACGGGGGGGGGGTCTTCGACCTGAAAAATCAGGGGTTAGGATTTGCACCCGGTCGAAAGAAACCTTGCTCGAAAGAAACCTTGCTATCGCAAGAGTAACTCCAGCTAGCTTCGCTAGCTTTCGTGACAAATATACAACCCTCATATTGCCTTCTGCATTTCTTAGACCTGAGGCCGATAGGAACATAAATTTTGGCAAACGGTTTCAGCAAGCTTGCTAAGTCCAAGTACATTGGCAAGGCTTTTCATTCAGCTGTTTGGAGCTGGGGTGCCTGCGGTACCTGCCAGTGGAAGCCTGGGTCAAGGCTGAGGACGCTGACTTGGAATGTCCACTTGGTCACTTGGCTTAAGGTGTGGCAAACCCATTACAATCGCAAGCAAGGAACAACCTCCCTGGTCTGCGAGAAACCTGCCAGCGATGCTTGGCCATACTGCCATACTCCTATGGTTCGTCCACTATCGCGTGGGTTACTGACAGCTGCATCGCTTACCAAGATTGGTGTCATGACTCATGACGATGTGTCATGGAATCATGGAAATACATGTTCCTTTCTGAGCCCGTGCTCATAGGTTGATGGGTTGCAAACAGAAACCATGAAGCTGGTGATCCGACCTGAAGCCTTCTTGGCCAAGTGCAGCATCTCCTTGGTGCTCCGCGACTCGCGTCTGGCGTCTGAGTCTATATGACTTATATAACTTTTATATATAACTATTGCAGGGCAAGAGAGGGAGAGAGAGAGAAGAGAGAGAGAGGGAGAGAGAGCTATACTACTTACTACTTCCTCGATGATAGAGCAACTTCAGCTTGCTTCAGGTCCTCTGCCTCTTTGGGTGCTGGGAGGAGCCTTTCATGCTGGTCGCATGCACTTCTTATTTGCTTTTTTGCTCATGAAGTTTCTGAGACACTGTCGTTTTTCTCAACGTTCACTCCCGTCTATTCAATGTGTGTCCAGCCTTGGCATCAATTTGGTCACACTGGGCGGGGCCTCAGCTTCAAAGAAGTTCCATGACACAGCTCTGATGGCCCAACAAAGGCCACAGCTGGCATGGAAGCCATGCCATTCATTGTCATACTCGGCGCCCTCAGCAACGGCTAGCGGCTAGGGGTCTGCATCAGTCCACGCTTGCCAACCGCCCCAGTTTTCGAGATATTCCAGCCCCTCACTTCCTCCTCACGATCAACCACGGTCACTTGGCAAGGAAGTCTGGGCATCCGCCAATTGCCAAGATTGGTTGGTGGACTGAGGCTTTCACCGCGTCTGATTTGCCAGTTCAGCCACGCTTGGCGGGACAGTGTACCATGATTGAAGATTTGGGCCTGGAGTCTCAGCGACTGCCGTCGGCGTTAACACTGCAGTACCTACGTCTCGCCTTCCATGCTCTGCAGAGGGATGTCCTTGCAAAGCACGGTTGGCACAGCGCATGGTGGGAAGAACGTCAGCGCGTCCTCTGGATCCACATTTGGAACTGGTGGCAGTGATGGAATAGCTGGTGGTGGTGGCGGCGGTGGTGGACCTTAGTCTTTTTTAATAAGAGCCTGGGCGACATAGGGACGAAAGCAAAGGCCACGACCTAATCGAGGCTGTGGGACTTCTGGAGGCACCTGAGAAGGGATCCATCACGATGGGCATGAATAAATAAAAAAAGAGATTGAAAAAAAAGGTTGAGGGCCTCTTTAAACAAGGCCCCCTTCAAAGAAAGCCTTATGAAAGGAGCCCAAACACATCGTTGTTTTCCCTTTTCTTGCTGTTTTCTTCATGTTGCTTCTGCAAAACGTCTGGCCTTGAGTTCTGGCATCGGCGATGAAACGGCCGCCGTCCAGGTAGCCTCCACTGTTTCACTTCAGGCTTGCAGTTTCCAACTCCCCACATGAAATTCCTCATGTATTCCCCTGGAAGTCCAGGGTCCTACTTTGTAGGGCCCTCGGATTTGTTGAGGAAAGAGGCCCTAAAAAGGACATCGGCGATATCTTCCATTTAAGGTCCGATGTCCTAAAAAGAACATCGGCGAGGGGGGCTACTGTATTTGATGGACCCTCACTGCTGGTGTTGGCTTGATTGAGGACGTTTGGCATCGTGCAATTCCAGACCTTTATTTCCCACCACATAAAATGAACACCCTCATTTATTTGCTGTCCGCTCATAGCTAGCGGCTAGCGTGAGCAAACGTGAGCAAGCGTGAGCAAAGGTCCTGAAAAGTACCTCGGAGGTCCTCAAAGACACAAAACACCATCAAAAGGAACACAAAATCCCCCAGCAAAGCGTGAGCAATCGTGAGCATTGGCATGGCATCCTACACACTATTGCGCGCAATTTCTATCTGAATGCGTGGACTTTTTTCAAGATTGCTCACGACCAAGGTTGTCATTAAATTGTGGACCAAGGTTTCACAGGATCCGATATCCCCTTTGTTGGGTTTCCTCGGATTCCTCGGCGAAGAAACCCCAGCAACTTCTATGGTTTCTCGGACATCGGCCTTTTAAGGACCTCCTCGGCGGAGGTCCTACTTTTAAGGGTCCATGGACTCTGAGGGTTCGTTACAGTAATTACATTGGTCAGCAAATTAAGATAATTACTGTAAGTCTCTGGAATGGCTGTAAATCATGAATCGGAGCTTGCAGAAAGAGATTGATGAGAACAAAAAAACCTCTTCCAACTGCGGAAGTGTCGTGCCTGTGGACTTTGTCTGGCCTGCGTTTCCACAAGAGCCGCGCTCGCCTTGAAGCGAATGTGTTGGTCGAAGCCGTTGAAATGCTGTGAAACACTTCATCCGAAGGACTGAATCTAAATCTTCAAAAATCCGAATCAGAATGTCGAGCGTGGCTCGTTTTGTCATCTGTCTTTCATGTCGTTTTCCACTCGGGCTCCCACAAGTCTCACGCTTACTCGCGCAGCATCTGCATTCCTTCCGCGCCAGCAACAGTGATTCCATCTTGTGATACCCTCTTCGATTGATCGATAATTCATATCTTTACATGCAAGAACTGTCGCTTGATGCTCAATTCTTGAAACACTTCTCTGCCACGGATTCTCATCTGCATACAAGTTTCTGTGCGCAAGGGCACTCAGGAGTATTGCCCCTCAAGAGCTTGGTCGCCTTCCCGGAAGCACATGTCTGAGAGAGCAATTCAAAATCCATTCTGCTCGGACCAACCAGCAGTTCATCTCCGGCCCCTTCGCAACTGCAAACCAGTCTTTTCTAAACCGCTTTGTCTCCACTGGTTGGCTCGTAGATCTGCACAAATCCGGAGGTCTGCATCCCTTGCCCCGTGTCTTGACCTCAATCAACGGTACAGTTTCTTTTGTGTGCTGCCGGTCAGTGATAACAATATAAAAATGTCCAGCCCAGTCGCTGGAGTCAATTGTGTCTGCCTGGCCAAGGAATGGCAACGAGCAACACACGAAACAACATGACGCGTGTTGCCATCTTGATGAATGGGTCCTGACTCTGGTGAGCTGGCCTTCCGCTTGTAGCTAGGCAGCTGTCCCAGAAGCGGGCTCAAAAGGAGATTGCAAGCGTCCTCAAATACAATGAGGAAGCAAAAACACCTGATAAATGATGATATGATGCGCGGCTCCTCCATCACCTCTTTCCGCACAACATCGGCTACATTGCCCTGCAAATCGTATGCGGAAGGCACAATGCAATAGTTCACATCTAGTCATGGACATAGCTCAGGAAAAGCAGAACAATGACCTCATCCGTCGTGTCCTCTGACATTGGGAACATGTCTGAAAGCCTCGCTGGACACCAGCGATTTGAGTACAGCACACCCACGATCACAGTACGATTGCAAGAGTCTGATTGTAGGTTGCCAGGCCAAGGTCGCTTATCGCTGTCGATCACAAAGTCAACCACAAAGAGCTGGTAGTGCAAAACGCCTCTGATGACAGGCGCTGTGCAAATTGGAGCAGCCATTTTTTGTAATGCATCTCCGCCTGCATCTACCGGGCTGTGTGGGGAAGCAGCTGGCTTGCACCTGACAAAAGGTTTCAATGGTTGCTAGCTACGTCCACGGAACAAGTATTGCGAGCACTCATTTCTGACTATGGAAGCTTCGAGGGAAACATCTTCCGAACTACCACCCGTTGCAGTTGGCGTGCGCATGATCGCGCGCGTCAAAGGTGCACAATGGTAGTTTAGCAAAGCGATGGGTGCGGTGATGGGCGAGGGCGGGTTTACCAAGGGCTCGAGATGTTTGCAGGAGCCAGCTCTAAGGGAACTCTGACGGTGGGAGGCGCTGCGGTTAAAGTCCGCCCGCACCAAAAAAGGTGCTGAGGCGTTACAGTGTCAATAGCGCTTTCATCGCTATTTTGCTTTAGGTAGGGGGTGTATTTTCGTTCCCTCCTGCATCGAGAGATGCGTCTGGGAGAGGAGTGGGAGTGTGAAAAAAACATTGAAAAAACAATGGTTTTCACACATCATGAATGCCTGACAATATGTTTCATTATTGTACCTCTTGCATCACCAGGTCCATGAAAGGCAAACAAACGACTCCTCTCAACAATCTACGTCACGTCTTAATAAATTGTTCATGGTTCATATGCATGGTACGATATGCATCGGCTGGTCGCATAGTTTATTGTACTACTGTAAAATGCATGACTAATATAGTAACAACCTGCAAATGTGCCACTTCAACGGGGTAGAAAAATATATCCAACACGTGCAAATTGTGAGAAGGACATAACTAAACACTTTGCAACAGTGTCCCAAACATAGCGATTATTGAGACTCCTTATATTTTGCGCATCCACTTCATGCTGCGTTCCTCTGTAAGTTTGTGTCGATCATGCACATTGTACAGTTTATTGTGTATATTCACTCTATTTTTCGACTCCCTTGAAATTGTACGTTTTTCAGCAGGGGTTGATATAGTTTAGGCTCCCTGAAACGTGTGCAATTTCAATCGGGTCGAAAAATGTACCCAACGATGCTTGCAATTTGTAAGCATTACATAACTTAGCAGTCTGCAAGAGGGCCCAAAAATAGAATGATTACAGTATAGTTGCCGTCCTTTTTTTCATCCACTTCATGCTGCGTTCATCTCTGAGTCTTGTCTCTATTCTTCGACCCCCTTGAAAATTGACAATTTCAAGGGAGCTGAGGAATAGATCCAACAATGCTTGCGAAGTGCAAGTAAGACATAACTGTTTATCAAAGGGTCTAAAAATAGAGCGATATTGTACAGGCGTTTTGCACCCTCTCTCTAAAATCCACTGGTGCGGGCGGTTGTCGCCGCGATGTGGCCCGAATAGTTCTGTGCCTGACAATGGCGAATGGGGTTCCTAGGCTCTACACACTGCCAACGCATGGGAGAGTTGAGGTAATCCAAATGCACTGCACGGAGTAGTTTCCGGGTTTTGACTTCGTGGCGCAAATGCTGCGCAGCCCAATGTGATTGCACGTTGTGCCGGATAGGTGCCTCGGGGATTAGCATTGAGCATCCGCGACAGGTATGGCCACAATTGCTTATGCCACAGGTATTCGCACAACGTCCCACATGCAAATCACTGAATTATATACACTTGTATACACCTTCTTAAATTATATACGCCTTCTTAAATAAAGAGAGCTGGGGCCTGTGGTAGTGCATGCTTCTAAGCTTGTACCTCAATACACCTTTATAACCATATACAACTTTTCTCGTATAGTTCAATGTGTTGATTTATTGTCCTTTTTTTGGTAACGCCATCCTCAACAGGTATATTTTGATATTGCATGTTTCTAATCCGCCCACACCGCTCGTCGGTGCAGGGCATGCTATTGGGTTCTTGGGCTCTGCCGCCTATGCAGATAGCTCTGTTAGGGGGGACGCCTTTTTTTTCGCGCGTGCGCGGCTATGGTTGGGCTGCAGGGCCATTAGGGAAAGCGTTTTGGAGGCCCATTTTTGGATAATTGTTTGTTACGTCGTGCTTGCAGGGCCACCGGGGAGGGCGTTTTGGAGGAGTTTTTGTGTTTTGGGGTGGTTGCTGCGTTGATGCTTGCTCAGCTGCAGGGCCACTGGGGAGAGCGTTTTGGAGGTGTATTTTTGGATGGCTTTTGGCAATGCCGAAGTTGTATCACCATTATGGGCTCCAAGGTAGACGAAGTTGGCCCCAAGATGGCTCCAACGCAGCCGTAAGACAGCCAACCTGGCCTTCTTTTTCGTGCATGCGTGGCTATGGTTGAGCTGCAGGGCCACTGGGGAGAGCGTTGTGGAGGTACATGTCTGGGTGATTTTCGTTACGTCGTGCTTGCAGGGCCACTGGGGAGGGCGTTTTGGAGGAGTTTTTGTGTTTTGGGGTGGTTGCTGCGTTGATTCTTGCTCAGCTGCAGGGCCACTGGGGACAGCGTTTTGGAGGTGTATTCTTAGATGGCTTTTGGCAACGCCGAAGTTGTATCACCATTATGGGCCCCAAGGTAGACGAAG